GGGAGAGAGAGATAGAGAGAGACAGACAGACAGAAAGAGAGAGAGAGAACGAGGAAAAGTTACCTTACTTTACTAAACTTACAAGTTACAATACTAAAAGTAACTACCTCCGTGTGAAGTAGATTATTCACATGAGTTGTTTAGAACTAAATAATGGCTGTTCACTGTCATTTCAATGAAAAAAAAAAGTCAAGATCACTAAATTTTTCCCTTCTCTACAAAGTCTTCCTCTTCTGCCCATGAGCATCATATAAATTATGTGTTAAGATTATCACTACTTCTAGATCTTCAAAAATTGCATTTGCTTATTCCTTTCTCACTTTCTCTCTTTAATTTTTTTGGAAAATATTAGCACTGAAAACATATACACACATCCTTTCCCTTCCACATCTTACTTCCACCTTCCTGCCTCATTTTTTATTTTTTCTCTTGCTCCCATAAGCTACCTTCTAAGCACACCTGTTCCTTCTCCAGCATTTTACTGTCTCTTGAAGAATGCATCCCAGCCTTACAGGCTAACCCCCAGGGGATGATCCTTTTCACAACCCCTGATGGCATCTGCCCAGGCTACAACTGGATATTACAGCCTCCTTTTTCTTTCTAGCCCGAGTCTTGCTCTCCTGCTGGCTCCAACCCCAAAGAACATCAGGGAAAGGCTTCTCTGGTAAACACAGAAAAACCCTGAGGGCCTTGCTAGTATGTAGCCTCATTTTAAACCCTTCATAGAAGAAAAAAGTACGTAACCAATTTGAAATGAAATTTAACCATGTTTTATTTCATTTTTCAGTCTTTGAGGATAGGGGGCTTTTCTGAGCAAATTGAGTGAATAGATTATTGTATGTCTCTCGGTATCCCACAAGCTGTGCAATGACTATATAACACTTGAATTCTCTTAGCAATTCGAGGCTTTGAAATTCAAATATAACTCACTTCTAAAGAATCCTGAATTATAAAACATCCCAGCATCACACTGCAAGTCTGCTTTACTATGGCAGTTAAGTTCTAAAAAAAAAAGAGAATAACCTGAACTGACCAATAAAACTCCATCACATTTTGTTTATGTAAAGGAGCATGAATGCTTCTAGAAATTTGTCTAAACTGAAGCTTAACTTCCTAGCGAGAAGCTTTGATCTCTCAATGAAAAGCACAGAAGGTGAGAGGGTTATGTGTTAGAGCCAGGAAGAATCATTTTAACAAGAAGAAAGATTTGTAAAGGTTTCATGAGCGTCTGACCCAAAAATTCCAACATGTTTGAAACGTACACGACTATCTGATAAGTTGCTTGTCTTACAATATGGAAAAACAAGGCAAGAGTGATTCTTCCGAAAGGAATCAGGCCAGGAATCAGCACCAGGAATTCAAGGAATCAGCACCAGGCTACGTACGGCATACTGAACAGATTTTGCATCTGCTGTCAGTCTAGCTTTGCTGTGGTTCACTGCCACTTCAGCACCTTCAATCATATCACGGTAATCATAACACAGTAAGGTCCTGGTCCTTAATTAGGGCTCCTGATCAGCACAGTAATACAAAGTTTCAAACCTAAGTGCCTAAGCATTTGATCTGCGAAGTAAATAAGCAAGCAACAAAGTAAAACTGGCATGTAAATCTTTTGAATCAGCATTCTCTTATTTCCATACAAGCCAAATAGCTTTAGGTTTACAAAGATCAGGGTGGTAACTCAACTCTGCTACAGACACATCAAACAAGACAAAAAGTAACTGCAAACACTGAAAAGTCAGCAAGCATTAAACAGTTCTGCTTTCTCAGCGCTCGCCTAAACAATTTCAGGTGCAAGAGAGCTGGGCTGTGCATGAAACATACCTGGCTGTAGCCCTGAATGGCCGCTCTGGCTTGACTGCTGCGGGCCGGGAGCTGCGCCGCCGCCGTGTCGCCCAGGGCAAGGGTCTGGTTGCTATGGTAGCTGGCCGAATACTGGAAAGACCCTTCGGGTTTGGAGTTAAGCTGAAGAGCACTCTGGGAGAGGAGGCTGGGCCCTGCATTGAAAGGAGTTTGGAGCAGTCAGAAAGTCTCAGTGCAAGAGAACACGTGTGTTATTTATTCACTGATCCTGGAAATTATCAAATGTTATGCGACTTTTCATTTCCCCATTTTGGCTTTTCAGTAATAAAAATGAGGTCACATAAATTAAAGTGTTTCTTTACCACTTCATCAGCATTATTTTGGCGTTCTCAAGCTGCAGACAACATTACTTTCTTTAACACAAATCCGTTCTCGCCTGGTAGCGAAATTCTAAAATGACACAAAACCAAACACGCCGTTTGATAAGAGAGTCCCGTTTCTCAGCTCAGAACGGTTTGCGTGCTCGCTTTTTGTGAAGAGAGAAACCTTGTTTACTTCCCTTAATTACATCCAGGCCTTCAGTACGGGAAATGCTGAGTCCTCCCTCCCTGGGCCCCCGGCACATTAGATCTATTGATCACCGCCACTCTGTAGTGTACACGTGGTGATGTAATACGCTGGTGCCTGCAGGGATGGATGGCAGCCTTTAAAATATTAATAGCCCCTCTCATCATGTAGGGCTCACCCTGATCGCAGTGAATCCTTGATGACTGTTCTGTCAGCCTATCTTATCTTTCCGATCACAGCAACGCACAGCAGGAGAACAGAGCGCAGGCAGTGAGCTTAATTTGGGACTGCCAAAGTAAAAAGTATTTGGAAAGGCGGAAATATGAACAGCAAGACTTTCCATAGTCATTTAGCTGTTCTGTGAAACTAAAACATGTTCTAATATTCATTAGGCTCATTTATAAGTGATTTAGCTTATCACATGCACATAGCAAATCTCCCAGTTTTTGTTCTGGGAGCATGTATCTGACAGGGAAAGGGTGCTCTTTCACTGCACTGTCCACGTGTTTAGACGTGACCTCCCTGAACCACTTTTAACGGTGAACTCATTCTGTCTCCATACACAAAAAGCTTTATTATAGAATATCCATCTAACCCTTCCCTCACGTCATCACTGACTTCAGTCTCTTCTAATTTGCAATCAATTAGCGTACTCTTCTTCCCCGGTGTCTGGGCCCAGTAAGTAAAATGAAAGAGTAGAGAAGAGAGGAGGGTTATGCCTTGGGCATACCGTGCATTACAAAGAGGTCCATAGCTTGGGCTAGAAGTCTAGCCCAACAGCTAAAGGCTACAGGAAATTCAGTGGCTCCAGGAGGACGACACGTTCACACTCTGGATAGCGCGAACCAGCTCGTGAGGGCACAGGAGGTGACAAAAATCTTAAGGGACGTGAAATGATAATGTTGATTGAGCTCCTACAGAACAAGTGAAAAGTTCTGTTTTAAAGAACCTGGAAACGGTCAAATTTGCATGAGTTTTACTGGAAATAACTCCCAGTACATTCCTAATAAAATGCCAAATTTTAAGTCCTTTAAGTCTTTGCAAAAGGATGCAAAGCTGCTCTAAAAAGGTTTCCATTTAGGAAATATGCAAACACCCCCCCCCCCCCCAAATTAACGTTGAAAATATTTTTTCCGTAGCTTGTTTCGCACAAATGGCAGAATCATTATAAGTGACATTTGCAAAAAAATCATCAGCCTGAGGCAGAAATCTGGCCTGTAAAATCGAACCTGAATGGCGCATATTATAAACAAATTGAAGGAGATTTTATAATAGTGGGAATGCTAGTGTCTAACTGTAGACAGTGACTATAACACCGTCTATTTTACACACAGGCGCAATTTATACTGCAAGGTCAATCATATACCTCATAAAATTACAGATTTATGGCAGATTTAGAAAGTAAATTGTGGCCTTTCTATATTCCTTACAAGCACAGAACGAGACAGGGCTCCATGGAAAAAATGTATGCCGTGAGGTTATTAAAAATATACCATATGCCTAGGAGAGCTGAGTATGGGTGCTCATAAATCCAACATTTGATCGCTTTCTAGTCTCTGACTTTGCAAATAAGGTCGACTAAGGGAAATCTGAAGCACATAGTTTTAAGTTCACTAAATACTGCATAGCACTGTTTATTTTGTACTTTAACAAACAATAACGAACAATTATAACCTATATACATTTGAATAAAGTAATTACAAAGTCATTTGAGAGAGATAGCTAGATAAATATTAAAAAAAAATAAAACACACACGTTCCTCAAGTAAAAGTAGAATAGAACTGTGATCACTTACCCGCAAATAACTAAGCTTAAAAAAAGAACAGAAACTGCAAGATACATTTGAGATGAATAAAAGTGATCTAAAAAACAAAAACAAAAGTTCCCTTTTCAGTATTCAGGGACTACAAGCAGCCCAATTTTTTCTGCTAAAGAAAAGATGGATCGCTTTTCTCATTAGGATTCCTGAGATTTCAATCTAAAGGAAAAACTAAACCTTCTGAGGAGACCGCAGGTCACACAGAAGAGAAGAAAGTGGTTTGTTTGCCTAGTTTTCCGTACACGGAAAGAAGTGACAAGGCTTGCCTTCGGCTCTTTACAACACACTACTTTTTCCACCTAGAAATGATTTAAACTCTGTTGTGTTGGTGTTTATACAACTGTTTTTCATTTGTTTTAAGAAAGCTGGAAGGCAGGTGGACTTTCTCTGTTTTCAGTTAGTCACTCTAAAATCACTCATTAACTAATGGAATAATACAATCTTATTTGTTACCTTAAGGCTAAGTAATTAGCTATCAATCTTCAATTCAAAATAAGCTTGAAAACAAACACTTCCAGCTTAATAAGGGCCAACTTAGCAGACCTGAGGTATGACAGTATCACTTAAAAAATATTGCTTAAAAATTGTAATCTTACACTATATTTAGTTATGCTTCTATGGGGAGGAGGGGGCATAACTACTTGTTTTCCCATATGTTCTTTCACCACTTTGTACAACACCTATTCTCCTTGTGAAAGAATATTAATGCTGGATAATTCATAATGGATAGTGTTTGCACTGATTCAATCAATGCTACTTTCTTGACATTAGTTCTTATTGTATTAACAGCATTAAGATCAGTACAGACGTGAGTGCAAATTCAAGAAACTAAGTCAGAGTCACCATGATGCAGGAGAAAACTGTGAACTAACTTCAAAAGATGGAACTGGGTATAGTAATTAACTCTTTCGTTTGTTTTCAGCTTGGTGAACGTGCATGACAGACAACATACTCTTCCTCATAACCTTTAGCAGAACAGAGCGTAAGGCTGTCTCTCTTCCTCAACTAGGCTGCCGTAATCTGCCTCAGTAAGGAACTCTGGGGAGAGGAAGAGTGTTTGCACCCTGCCTGCAAAAAAAAAAAAAAAAAAAAGTACACTTAAGCTGAGGAAAGCTTGTGGAACATAAAGAAGATGAGGCAAGAAAAACAGAAAAGGATGGAGAACATTTCTATGTCAGGGAGCCAATCCACAGCCAAATTGCAGAGGTGATGGAGAGTACAGGACTCTCCTAGGAATCACAGAAGACCTTTGGGATCTACTTGCCTAGGCAGTTTTTCTTCACAGGCCATTGATTTTCCTTTTGAATAATAATACAACGTGCAACGCTGTGACAAGATGCAGTATAGCTATGTAAAAATCAAACCAATGAAGTGAGTGGTCTTAAAAGATAAGATTATTATTAATTCAAAGACACCACAGTAACGACTGGTTGTAGGAAATCAAAGTTACACAAAGAATCCTGATTATCATCATCATCCATGGCTGTGTCAAGACAGAAAAAAAATTAAATTACGAAAACATTTGTCCTTTTATTTTTAAGTGTGATACCTTCTTTGGAAATATAATCTTGTGTCTGTCTTTGCTCTCTTCAGATCACTCCTTTTCCTTCTTCCATCTTATAGAGTTAAAAAAATCCAACCAAACAAAAAAAAAAAATCAAAACTTAAAGCTTCCATTCTGAACACTTTTTTTGAAGGTAAGTAATTGTTCTTGAACAGCAACTATTTGCACGCAGAAATATTTTTATATAGCTGTAATAGAACAGCAGTGTGTTAGGATATTTTTCATTATCTCCATATATGTTTCCATCTGCACCAGTGCTTTCTAACACAATGAAAAAATAGTTACAATGATAGAACAAATATATATGAACTTCTGATTACTCCACTTCTATATATAGTATATTGTCAGTTGTTCCATAAGATCAGTAAGGAAAGAAAAGCAAAATGGTAATACAACAGTAAAATTCTACCAGTATAACTGTCTTAACACATTTCTCTATCTAGGTCACCTGTAAGATTTTTTTTTCCCTCCAAACAACACTTTGTAGAACACTCAAACAAAAAAAGCTTTCTATTGGGTGAAAAAGTGCTCCTTACTTTTAAATATTATGTTCTTTAGCATAAAAATTCATTCACTTGTGCAACTGACTTTTTAACTTACATTTCATGAGAGCAATCACAGTTATAAATTGAACAAAGGACTGAAACATCCATTTTTGTATGCTCCAAAACTCTCAAGGGTTAAGTCTACTCTTTTCAAACCCACTGGAATATACTTGTTAATTTTATAAGGAGTTACATCAGTTTTTAAGATACTTTAAGTATGATGGAGAATGTGGAACGTGCTTACAGAGAAAGTGTGCTGACTGAACATACAGTATAAAACCAATTTGAAAAAATATAATGTAAAAGAGTAGTAAAGTAATATTAGAAGTACTGTACGACTAGTTTTTTTTTTTTTTAATCAGTCATTTCAGTTGAGGTTGTCAAACAGGAATCAAACGAAACTAAAATACACTACTCTTAAAATTACACTTTTATATAGGACTGTTCTCCAATAGAAAAAAAAAAGCTGACTTCATAGCTATGTCAAATTAGTGTAGTCAAACCTGTCAACATTAGCATCTTCAAAAGGAGAATGCCTTTCCAATGCATGCACAGTGAACCCAATGCAGTTGAGACTTCATGCAGGGAGCGACTCTGAACACATGCAGCAACCATTCGTCTAGAACTTGAGGGCATTTGGCAATGGAGCAGCAAGACAACAGAAAAACTAGCAGGTCACTGAGAGTCTTGCAGGGCAGAAAAACACCACTAACATCAGTAGTCTATCCCCACATCAGCAGCACTGGCAGGTGCAACCTTTGAATATAAAACAGGTCTCGGGCAGTTACCCCAGTTTTGGCTATACAGTATCATTAGCAGACCAACTGTGTCAGTACTACTGCTCCAAATTCTAAAATAATGTTTCTTTCTGCCAGTCCCCCTGCAACAAAAGGATTTAAAACTTCCTAACATTGCCAGACTCCAAGAATATACAGGTAGCTTTCCCCATATACTCAGGAACAAACCCACAAGGAGCCTCCGTGCTTTGCTCCCCACCAGAATCCGCAGCCCCAAGCAGGGAGGCAGGCTGCCCAGACTAAGCAGAGATAGAAATGGATGATTAATAGAGAGCAAGAAGCAAAGAACAAAGTTAACCAGTACAGTACTGAATTTTGATTCAGTGAGTAGTTGTTGATGCCTACTGGAAGAGCTTCAGTGAGAGATTACAAAAAAAAAAAAAAAAAAAAAGGCATCAGAACAGTGAGTAATCCAACAGCCAGCAAACCTTCTTGGGAATCAAAACTGGTGGGTTACGATACATCTTCTACCCTTCTTCGGGTAGGGTCTTGACTGGTAAATATGCAGAAGCAGAGCTTACCTGAATCATATCCCATAGTGCTGGTAAACAGAAGCGTAACTCATTTAAGAAACCACTAGGAACTTATACAGGGCTCAGGGCAGCTTAACAGTGTCAGGAGTTAGGCAATTTTGTAAGCACTGAGAAACATGATGTGTAAGTGCTGAGAAATTGGTCCAGTACACTTACAGCAATTAGAGACAGTCGGAGGGGGAGAGAACACCCACATTCTACATAACTTGGCTATTTGTATTATTGCTACACCACGAGTTAGGATTTAAAAAAATCAAATAAATGATGTTAAGTCTGATAAGAATTAAGCAGAATAAGTACTTATTATGCTACATTGATACCTAAAGGATGGCCAGGTAAGGCAGAAGGAATCTGTGGATTAACAGCATTATAAACTCAGAGAACTTTGTATTTTTTGTTGCTGGTATTGTAGCGTCAATTGCTGGTTCCCAAAACTAAAAAGCCAGATGAATGTGGGATTATTGTCAAAGAGGAACTTGCGAAAGGAAATCGAAGAGATTCAGTTCCCTGCAGTGATACTAATGACACCCTACCTCTAGTGTCTGCTAGTCTAGCATCTGAAAAGTTACTCCTGTTTCCTAATACTTAAACTGCAGTATATAATGGAATATATTACACAAGGAACCCTTAAAAATTATAGTTTCACAGTATATAACAGGTCATAGTAATTTTTAGTTCACAGAGTATAGCAACAGTATGGTCAATCTGCAAAAGAAAAAAAACTTGAATTATGAGACAGGACTAATATTTCACATTACAGAGCAGATGTTATCATGTAACAAGTATTCAATAATACATTATCTGCTGATTGTTCAATTATCAAATAATTACCATATAATGACAGGTTACATACAATACTGTATTATTACAAGATAAGGACATGATTAATTCAGTATCCTAGATCTCTGCAATAATTACTTGTGAATTGTCTAAATCAATTACACTACAAACTACAGAAATATGTACCTAGTCAGACTCCACGAGATAATTACATATTTGTTACTTAGTTTTTCATGGGAAGATTCCAGTGAAAAGGATCATGCAAGTGGAAAGAGGAGGATTTTTTTTCTCTCCTGAAGATTTACAGTCACTTGGTTTACTGGGGGCACATTTCCGCTCCTGGGGGCACATTTCTGCTCCAAATAAGTGGTAAATAAGAGCATTATTTTTGTGTATTATATTTATATTTGGACAATCATCTATTGCAATGCTAGCTCTAACTGACAAAGGAAATAGATCAAAACATGGTAGAATTAACATTTAATTAACTCATATACCAATTATAAACAACATTGCACTCACCTTTGATCAACTGACAGAAGTAATTATAAATTATCCAGTAAATGTAAATAAAGTGTTTTTAATTAGTATAATTAATTACCTCTCACATTCTTCAACCTGTTTTGCTCATTGGAGTAACAGCTGAAAGCAAGCACTAGCAAAACTCCTTTAACATCCTTTAAACATTCACTTACAGAATTAACAGATCGAGGTGCCTCACAGCCTGCCTAGAACAAATCATCTTGTAACTGTTACTGTATTCCTAATTAAAACATTTCAAATATTCACCAAAGAGTTACTGCTTATCTTTTCTTCTTCCTCTTAGATCACCTAGGTTGAGTGTGAAATACTGATTCCTATCCTACAACTTACTTTTTTTTTTTTTTTCTCCAAGCGTGTGTACCTATGCAAAGTTGTTGCTCACCACTTCTAAAGCCTGGCTGTGTTTGTCTCCCAGTTTTACAAAGGGACAGATGATTTAAAAAGATTTAATAAAATAATGGATCAGGTCAGGTATCTGTAGAGCAGGCGCTAAACATCTGAGCGCTCCATTTGGAAAGCTGGGGGAATCCCAGAACTATACTGAAAGTCTATTAAAAACAAGGATAGCTCTTGATGGTACTCTGTCAGGGTGTTTCCACAGTATTTGACAGTAAAAAGCAGAAGATTATAGTTAAAGACAAGGTGTGTACTCATGGATCCTAGTGATATTACAATCTTCAGTGCCTCACCGGTATACACTGTTTCCAGGTCCTGCTCCCAGTATTAGATTGTGTATGAGACTGTGATCAGAAAAAATCTTGTCTCCAGATCTGATGGAGAAAGAAACGTTTGTTTATTTTTAAAACCCTCTGTTGCAATATGGTCTATTTTTGAGATCATCATTCTTCAACACTATTTGAAGAAACACTCTGCTGCTGTGATGATTTAGGACAGTGCTAGAAAGATGAGGAATTGAGTGAATGGAAGGTAAGGCCTCCTAGTGCCTCAGGGCATCACAAAGAGCAGTAACCTTGACAGGCTAAGTAGCTTCTCCCTCTCTCCCCTGCCATTTTCTAGTCTTTGGGTAAGTTACAAAGAGTGCAGACACCAGCAGTGGAGGCCATGGGCAATCATGTAGGATGATAACCCTGGGAACTAAACGGGAGACCTTTGTGCCTATTGTAGAAAGAGAACATTTTCTTAATTATAGGCAGAAAAAACTGAGATTCAACCAAGGCAAAGCTTAACATCTGAACAAGGCATATATTTCAGCTATCACAACGGGCTTCAGAGGCATAATGTGCGTAATATATCACAAGAAGGAATAACACAAAAACCAAACCAACCAGCAAAAACAAAACAAGTC